CGATATACGCCAGTTTCCAACCGTCCTCCATCCGAAACCGAGACATCGCAATCCAGGAACGCCAACCTGCCATTTTTTACATCCTCTCYTGTGAACTTAATATATTCATCCACAGAGTTGATGTGATCAGTGAAATGTTGGACTTCCTGGGATTTCCTTTTAATCCAGGTGTCGTCAACATATCTGAACCAATGGCTCGGTGGCACCCCTGAAAAGGACATCAGGGCTCTCTTTTCCACTTCCTCCATGTACAGGTTTGCAACAATAGGAGAAACTGGGGATCCCATGGCACACCCATGTTTCTGCCTATAATATTGCCCCCGGTACGTGAAGTAGGTTGACTCCAGGCACAGTTTGAGGAGTTGGCACACTTGTTCTGTGGAAAGTGTGGTTCTGCTCCTGAGAGTGGTGTCTGATTTTAATCTTGCACAGACCACATCCACTGCCTTATCAACAGGAATGCACGTGAAGAGCGATGTAACATCAAAAGAGACCATAGTTTCATCCGCCTCCATGATGACATCCCTCACCTTGTCCACAAAGTCCATAGTGTTCTGTATGTGATGTTCTGAGCTGCCAACTAAAGGACCAAGTATAGACGTCAGATATTTAGAAACATTGTAAGTGACAGAGTTGATCATGCTYACAATGGGTCTTACCGGTACATCCTGTTTGTGAATTTTGGGTAAACCATACAGACTAGGGGTGGCCTCACCTGGGTAAAGTCTATGATACAGAATCCGATTGATAGCCTTGTCCTGCTCTTAAAAATACCTTTAAAAAATGTTATTTTTTATCTTATCAGCAGAGGTGGGTAGTAACTAGTTACATTTACTCAGTCACATTTACTTGAGTAACATTAGAAAGTATCACTACTCTTAGTTGAGTAATTTGTTTGATGGCAAATTTTTACTTTTACTTGAATAAAAATACGTTAAAGTAGAGCTACGCTTTGTGTACTCGACCCACCTCTGTTTATCAGATACGATAGCACTCTGTGTTGAGGATGACTCTAGTAATTTATAAGATATTTTGCTAATGGACAGGAAGTATTGAAACCAATGATAAATGGTCCACAATTTATATATTGCGTTTTTTTAACTTCACCAGATTCCGCAAAGTTTTTCATTCACTCCACGAACACACAAACACACTCGTACAGTTTTTTAATTTATGCAGTATTTCTTTATACTAGGGGTGTGCRACCGAGTTCCTTAATTTTGGGAGATCGGCCAATACTTGGATGAAATCGGTGGAAAAGATCAGCTCTCATCTACCTCCACAAAGGTCTGAAAATCAGTTACAGTCCCCTTTTGCTCTGCTGTGAGCACTAACTTATGTGCAGTTAAATGTGTCAGCTTTGTTGTATGGTAGAACCCTAAGTGCAGGCAGACTAGATGACTTGAATGAACATACTAAAAACTAGTTTAGTAAATAACAAAAGACAAACATTTAACAATAAGAACAAGGCTTATACAATGGAAAGGGCAATAATCCACTAGAGGCAAWAGAGACAAGAAACTGGTTAAATAGTACTGAGGATGATTGGGGAGTGGAAGCACCTGGGTGATTACTGACTATAGACAGGTGATTGAGACAGGCTGGAAAAACACTAAGAAGCTGACTGAGGGTAACACGGCACAGGAAACAGAAAACTAACAGGAAATAAGAAAATAAGACAATAACAATGAAAAACAGTCTGAAAATACTAACAAAWYAACCATAAAACAAGAATCATGACACAATGTTTTTCAATAAAATAAGACTGGAACATTGAAGGTGTATTGTGACCTTATAACGCCTGACAGTGTCAGCTATTTAAAAAAATCGGTATCTGCCAAAACTGTAATTGGCAGGTCAGACTTTTTAAACATCGGTGATCAGCCAGAAAACTGCAATTAGTGCACCCCTACTTTAAAGCACATTTTTATATTCTCTCTCACACACTGATAAGCACATTGGTGGGCAGTCAGAATCTATGCCAAGGGACACTTTAGCACATTGTTAGGGCTGGGGATCAAACCCCTGAACCTTTGATAACAACTAAAGCAGCTTGGATAGTAAAAGGTTTAGGAAAAATATTTTGTTCAATGTCTAGCTTTAGAAGTATTTGCTGAGGACACTATTCAYCCACAACTACAACAAACTTTGGCTCAAAACATTTAAAAGTACTTAAATTAGCCGCCATGCCACGCTTAACATACAGTATGTAAAAGCAGCCGAATTAAAGCCCTGTTGTGTTTGCTCAGCTGTMGCAGCCGTTACGAATAGGTCTGAGGCAGGTGGAGGAAAATGTGTCAGATTAGTTTGGATTTTGGGTTGAATGCTGTGTTCAGGAGAGAAGCAGCACCATCTCGACGGGTCTATTCACAAATTTAATGGCATCCTGGGTTTCCAAAAGAGCACAGAGGAGCCGTGGCCTCTGGATCACCTCTCGTCGTGGCCTAAATAAAACGGCCACTGCCCAAACAACAAACTGGATCTTTTAGGAGGTGATAAAGAAAAGCATCAATGACAAAACCTTGTGCGCTTTAACAACAGCGGAACCACTGATGCCAACAATTGGCAGAGCTGTCTGAGAGGAGGGATATAGAATCTGAGGGAGAAGATGAAAAGGGTTGGAAATGGGACAAGACGAGAGGTGGACGGAGCAGAAATAAAAATAAATAAATAAATGAAAATAAAGAGGATAAAAGGAGTGGGGGAACTAGAATGACTGTTTCACTCAGAGAAGAGAGAGAAGGGAGACTTATCTGGGAGACAGTAAAACTCTGCCTGCAGGCAGCTGTCAGACGAGCTTCATCGAAGCATCTTTCTCCTCTCGCAGCCTCTTTCTGACTCACTCAGCCATTCCCTGCTTTTCCATCAGAATACAGTAAATCAATCACCCCCCTGCAGCTACAACCCCCCATGTTTTATACCCATATATGATGTAACATCTGTGAATAACTTTTGATCAACAGGAAACTGATGAACACGGTTTCACAAAAAAAAAACGCTGTTTGGATGATGAATTTAGCACGTGTTCACCTCAGTCTGGAACTTTGCAGCCTTCATAAAGGTGGTGTCTAACCGACCAGTTGGTGATTCAGAGGAAGTCTTATTCAACTCTGCCGTGGTGGGCACAGCTAACCAAAAAGTTATCTTCATTAACCACTAATCTGCTAAACAAGACTCTTAGCTCTGTTAACGCCAGAGGTGGGCCGTATTGAAGGAAATTTACTTGAGTCTTACAGATTAAAAATAAATCACAGAAGCTAATGCTACCCGCTAAGACAACTGTCAGTCTTCATCTCCTTCATGTTGAAGACCAGTGGGACTAGCACGAGCTGTTGTTAGTTTTCTATTGGTTTAATTTGAAAGTGAATGGGATCTTTTGTTCCAATCCAAATCAGTTYTAGTGCTCTCTAACTTGTGATATTTTCAGTTTACCCCTTGCAGAATAAAAGCATTTTATTGTTCATGTTTGTAGACACCGTTTAAAATTAGTCAAACAACAAATATCAAATACTTTCTCTATCATATAGTAATTTTTGTATTCCGTATTTAAATATTGTTTTTTTAGGCTTTTAGTTTGAAATTTACCTGCTAAAGATGCTAAACACAGTGTCTGACATGTCCAGCGCCACATGTAAGAGCGGGRAGGTTTTATTTAATTTGGGATAAATGGCATAAAAATGGAAGTTTTACATTTGTGAATCTTTTAGTGGACTTAAAATTAGCAGAACTTAATTTAATAAAAGCTAATCGGTCGGCTAACGGTTTCCAAAGTTAGCAAAAAAAAGAAGCTAATCCACTAAGTTAGATGCTAGTTCCGCTATTAGCAGATTAATGGATTAGCAGAACTGCTGCCACCACTGGAACTCTGTTTGCGATGTAGCAACTGTTGAGTTGGGTTGAGTGATTTGAAATGCCAGRTTTTGAACATCACACCTTATATTTTTCATTCATGGCTTGCGAAAATGCATTCTTGGCCAAGCACATTATTTAGTTGCTCATATTGGCTTTTTTATACCAATGTTTTGATTTAATCTATTGGATTACACTTTAGAAACAAAGATCTAGAACTACATCATATTTGGACCATAGTCCTAATAATGCTAACCGTGTTAACCGGCTAAGAGACAACAGGAAGAAACAAAGTTTAAATAAATTCTCACCGGGGCTTTTGTTGTGAATTGGCACTATATAAACAAACTGAACTGAACTGAATTGGACTCCTCTTTGGTGAAGATTGTAAAGGGATAAAAACAGCGCTTGCATCTGTGTGTGTGTGTGTGCTCTCATATGTAACAGGGTTTATTTGCATGTGTTTCTGCATGTGCGAGCTGGTTCTATAAATACAAGGTGCTCAGTGTGGCAGTTCAGAAGCTGAAAGGGAAGAAGGGCAGATGAGTGGAAAGTGTGAGAAGAAGAAGGGATGAAATCAACTCAAAAGTCGAGAAGAAGTAAAGATGAAGGATCCATCTGGTGTCATCAATCTCCTCTTTACAATATAACTACACAGCTCACTGCTCTTCTTCTCCATTTATCAAGGAGAAACATGTGAAATCTTTACAGGTTAAAAAAAAAACCTGTACACGGGGATGATTGATTGAAACACGGGTCGTTCTGAGAAGTTTCCCTTCCAACAACCCAGACTTTTCCCAGCCAGAGATTAAATGAGCTAATGAGGGTCGAAGGCTGATAATTCACCCAACTGCGTTTGCTCACATCCAAATATTTGCATGCAGCGAGTTTCTTGCCAAAGTAGGTTTCACCGCTCTGACCTACTTAAGTTGTTTTAAGCCGAACGGTTCAGATGCTAAAGAGTTCAGAGTGAGACAGGAGCGTGTGAGGAGCGAGCATCACTCCTGACAGGGTTTACATTGCAAACTGCTGTTTATCTTATGACCAAAATGCGCTTTACATGCTCCGATACAGGTGACAACAGAGGTGAGGAGGCAAAACCGCAGCTTCAGGGTGACAGTGTGCTCGTGTGTCGTATTGACGGTAGATACCTTATATGGAATAACAACCGCAGAGCCGCCACTGATGCCCACAATCGGCAGAGCTGTCTGGGTGGAGAGGAAGTCCAGGATCTGTGCCACTTCTGCCACCTGGAGAACGAAAACAGAACAAAGAAAATCAAATGGCTGGTATTCTTGGGAGGGATGCACATCACCCGCCACCTTTCATTTTCAAGTTTTAGATGGAGGGTCGACTCTGCCTCACTAATCTGTTTTAAGACAGATTGCTGAGCTGAAAGTGAAAACAAAGTGTCATTTTTGTCCTTTTTATTTCTAAAATCTGCATGTAAAACAAAAATGTTTGCATATGTAATTCATCATTTTTTGTAGGTTTAGAGATAAATTTAGCATCCATATCTTGTTGTTTTTTTTTTAAACACACTTTCACAGAAAGATGAGCAAATTGGGTCAATATGAAGTTCAGAGTTTTGCCCAAGGATCCACAAAGAGCAGGTAAAACTGCAGACTCTCTGATTACCAGAATTACATATTTCACTCTCAACCTTCTGAAGCTGAATCTGCATGGAACACGCAGGAAAGGTTCTCTGCTAATGAATCCATCACATTTATAATTTTTCCCCCCATTCCTGGCTGCACATCAGAGCAGACGCCCATCACTTCAGAGTCAGCAGAATCCTCCTGAAGGTCTCTCGCAGTGAAATGGAGGCTTTGATTTTTAAACTGAGCACTTCCTTTTGAAAGTTTTCTTGGTCCAGACCTCTGCTCGACCTCGATAAAGGCCGTTTTCTAATTATATTAGGAAAGAGGAAATGGTTTCCTGATAGTGCTTCACTGTATCCCTTCATCCGCCTCCTGCTTCGAGGGCATCACTTACCTTTAATTTTTATAGACTTTAGAAGAGGAGCCGTTTGATTCGTTCAGCTGCGAGATCCACGATGGCAAAATCCTGATCAACGTGTAAAAGTTATGAAGGTTTTTCTGATTTTGTTTTCATCTTTCTGACAAAAAAAAACCTTCACTTCCATTGAYTGTGTAAAAGGCTTTGTAAACATGGTAAAATCAGTCATCCTGACGCGTGTTTGATCTTGACATTGTCAAGTAACTTAATGAAAAGTCTAGCACTCGTTGCTCACCAAACATACCAGAGTTTTAGACTGATATCACTATCAAAGAACAAGTTCAGAGATGGGAACTCGTGAKTCGGACTTAGACTTCAGTCACACTTATACTATTAGAAACTTAGACTTGACTTGGACCCTAAAGCCCTGAGACTTGACTTGAACTCGTGCTTTGAGACTTGTGAACAATGAGAGTCTTTTCAATGTCATTATAAGCTTTGCTTACAGAGACTTTATTCAACACCATGACAAGAGACTGACAAAATGCAAAGTGTGCGGAGTCCAAATCCTAAATTTATTATTGTGATGACTTGTGTAGCCTTTTTTACTTTAAGGAGTCTGGTTCATCATCTTCACTGGCATGCTTTTATTTATTCAAAATTATTTTTTCTGGTATTTTATTGTGAAATCAGCAGCAGATGTTGGATTTGTTCTTTGTCCATGGCAAGATATAATTACAGTACACTTTTGTAAGACTACAAGTGCAAAATACAGTTAACAATACTCTAAATGCTTGATTGTTGTTCATTTAACCTCAACCTTATCTGTATTTTTAAAACAGTATTATGTTTTAATAGTATTATGGTCAACTATTATGGGTATTATTTCCTGTAACTGTGTATCTTTCTGCACAGTAGCTTGCTTTTTACTTTCATCTTTTGGCTAATTACACCTTGATAGTCCGGTACGTTACTTATTATTCTTATTTTTATTTTGATCTATGTTTATTTTTTATTGTTACTATTTTTAATTCTATTATTTTTGCTGCTAATTCTATTATTATTATTTTCCTGTATGTACCTGCTGCTGCTACACCTGAATTTCCCCGTGTGGGACAATAAAGGCTGTTTCTATTCTATTCTATTCTATTCTATTCTATTACTAAAACAAAATACTGTTTTAATATTTGATTAAAATATAGTATTATAGAATATAATTGAGTATAGTTAGAATACCTTTGATCAAACTGCCAGTTAAGTAATACATGCAATGAGACTTGGATTTGAGGTCAAAAGACTTGAGACTTGACTTGGATTTTTGGTCAAAGACTTGGACTTAACTTGGACTTGCAAAAAAAGACTTGCGCACATCTCTGCTACACATTACATTTTAGCTCAGTATCTTTAAAACTGGCAGTGGACTTTAAAACTGTTTCCTCGGACATGTTTTATGTGCAGCTTTATGACTGGACACTGTGACTCTGGAGCAGACATGTCATTTAAAACGTGAGAGAGCTCACTATTTACCTGGTCGCCTGCACCCGAGCCCACATCGTCCTCAAACACCACCCCGTGCAGCTTCTCCGTGGCCATGGTGTCACAGAGGTGGGTCAGCAGGTCACGGGGGTTGGTGTCGTTGACSAGCACGGTCACGGGGCTGACCACCACGGGCAGGTCCACGAAGTTCTCCCCGCTGAGGCGACCCCTGACCTCGTTCTGATAGCTGGAGCCGCTGAACACCACCGCCACATTGATGGACGAGTGGACGAGGAGCGGCCGTGCCCATAGCGCCGCCGGCGAGGACAGGAGGAGCAGGAGAACAACAGGAGGCCAGGACGAGGGGCGAGGGCGCCCCCCGGTAGTGACCATGGTGGCGGCCTACTGCCTGGAGAGGAGGAGAGGGACAACAAAGAGAGCAGCGGTCACACACGTGCGAGCTGCTTTACCTTGATGATGCTTTTGACACGAATCATAATTCATCCCCGTATTTCTGGTCTCTCTTTGACCCTGCTGTGCGGCAGTATTAGCCCGGCTTTTAGACTCTTGTGTCATCATGAAATCTGAGRGCGTATGTGTGTCAGAGTCTGTGTGCATGTAATCCTCTATAATCCAAGGRCCAGTGTCATGACTGTAATCACCTCTGCATCTATACGCATCTCTGATTCAGCAACACACACAAACACACACATGTACACACACAGAGTGAACACGGGAGCCCAAAACTGCTGCACAGGTCTTCAATCCTCATCACCCTGATTACATTACACAATCTGTCTGTTAGCAAAATATCCCTGGACACACTGGATGAGTCTTAAAGGGGCAATATCATGTAAAATCAACTTTTTCGAGTTTTATATCACGTTATAATGTTATAATCTCATAAAAAGCATGCCCAAAGCCTTGCTTTGACTCATTCATGCATGTTTGAGAAATCCTGCAGCGTTCTTAGGAAGCCATGCTGAGGAGCAAAACGACAGGTGGGGACCAGAAACGCCTCTGGGGCGTGTCTTTAAGCCGAACTTCCTCGTGGCAGTGTGCACCCCCCCACACACACACACCCTGCCCATGACTCCTGCAGGCTCTCGGTGAAAGTGAAAACTGTCTGCTGAGCTCTCAACATTAGTTCTCACTCAGTGAA